CCTCCCGCAGGTACTTCCCCAGCAGAGGCAGCGCCCCCCAGTGGTCGGTGCGCAGAGCCACGCACGCCGCCCCCCCGCCACCAGCCTCCCGCGCCCGGAGCAGCACCCGGTGCCGGGGCGGCAGAGCCAGCCCCACCTCGCAGGTGCCCGAGCCTGGCGCCACCAGGTACCTCCCGAAGACGCGCTCCACCAGGCTGGCCACGGGCTGCCGCAGCTGGGCCCAGCTCACCAGGCTCTCGGCCCCGGGGCCCAGGGCATCCCACAGGGCCTGGAAGAGGCGCCGGCGGGTCGGGAGGTCCCAGTTCGCGGGCAACGCTAGCGGCTGGAAGAGGTCAGGGAAGGAGACCTCCAAGGGCGCCAGGCGGCAGCTGTACGTGAGGCCGGCTGGGGTGCTGTAGAGAGCCGTGACAGCCACCCGGGTGGGGTAGGGGGCCTGGGGCCGGAGCTGCAGGGTGAGGGCAGGCGGCGGGTGCCCGGCGCGGAGACAGGGCACGTGGATGTCTGGCACAGGGCCGTAGCCACCGCCGGCTTCGAACCGCAGCAGGAGGCACAAGAGCGGCTCCGGGGGGTCCCCACCATGCAGCACCCGGTAGCCCAGGCTCAAGGGCAGAGGAGCTGCTGGGGCTGAGATCTCCGCAGCTGCCTCGGCCACCCCACACGCTCGGATCGGCGTGCCAGCCGCTGGCAGTGCCTGGCGCTCTAGGCGCAGCGGGACGTGGGGCGCCGGGTGCACCGTAAGGGCAGCGGTAAAGCTTTCGCTCTCAGCCACCAGCGAGGATGAGAGGGTGCGGGCCTGGAGGCGCCCGGCGGGGGCCAGCACGGCCCCCAGCTTCTCGGCCCCCAGTGAGGCCAGCAGGGCGCGGTAGAAGCGCGCTTGGTGCTGCACATCCACGTCCGGGTAGCTCCAAGCGAGCTCTTCCAGGAGGGTGGCCAGGGGGGGCCCGGCCCCACCCGGGCGCTGCAGCAGAGTCCGGCAGACGCCAAGCAGAGCCTGGCCGGGTCGCCAACCCCCCAGGCGGCCAGCCCTAGCCAAGCACGCCAGGCGCTGCACGTAGCTCGCTGCGGCTCCTGCTGGCACCCCCGGCGCCCCAGCCACGTGGGACAGCACCCGGAGGTGCCAGGGAAGGTCATGGGGTCGCGGGGGCTGGCCCACAATGAGCTCCTGCAGGGCTCCGGCCAGCGCCGCCGGCCACATGGGGTCATCCAGAGCCGCCCGGGTCTCAGCCAGGAGGTTGAGGAAGTGGGGGGCCAGTGCGGGGCAACAGCTGTACAGCCGGGCCAGGGCAGCCGCCAGCTCTGGCCCCCGCCCCGCCTGCGAGCCGAAGTAGCGCACAAAGAGGTAGGCAGAGCGGAAGAACAGCACCACTGCCTCCCGGGTGCCGCGGCCCCCCATAGACCCCTGGTCTTGAACCCCTGCAGATCCCCTATCCCAGCCCACCCCAG